TCTGAGTAGGTGCCTGTCTTTGTGGTTAAGGTGTGTTTCTTGTAAACAGCAGAATGTTGGATCCTGTTTTCGTATCCAATCTCTTAGCCTGTGCCTTTTAATAGGTTAGTTGAGCCCATTGACATTAAGTGATATTCATGACCAGTGGTTGTTAATTCCGTTCACCTTTTTAGTAGTAGAGTTTGTGTGTTTCCCTTCTTTGAGTTGTGCTGGTGAAGGGTCTCTAGATGTTTGAGTTATTGTGGTTATTGCTGGACTCCTTGGTTTGTGATTTTCCTTCTATTTCTTTCTGTAAGGCTGGATTTGTGGCTACGTATTGTTTAAATTTGTTTTTATCCTGGAAAATTTTGCTTTCTCCATTTTTAGTAAACAGAAGCTTGGCTGGGTATAGTAATCTGGGCTTGCATCCATGGTCTCTTAGTTTCTGCAGTACATCTCTCCAGGACCTTCTGGCTTTCATTGTTTCCATAGAGAAATCAGGTGTAAGTCTGATAGGTTTACCTTTATAAGTAACTTGGCCTTTTCACTTCGCAGCTCTTTATATTCTTTCTTTATTCTGTATGATTTGTGTTTTGATTATTACATGGCGAGGAGATGGTTTTTTTTTTTTTTTTTTTTTTTTGGTCCAGTCTATTCGGTGTTCTGTATGCTTCTTGAACCTTCAAAGGAATATCTTTCTTTAGGTTGGGAAAGTTGTCTTATATAATTTTATTAAGTATATTTTCTGGACCGTTGAGCTGTACTTCTTCTCCTTCTTCTATCCCAATTATTCTTAGGTTTGGTCTTTTTATTGTGTTCCAGATTTCCTGAATGTTTTGTGATGAGAATTTGTTGGTTTTGCTGTTTTCTTTGATCAGTGCGTTTATTTTCTCTATGGTATCTTCAGTGTCTGACATTCTTTCTTCTATCTCTTGTAATCTCTTAGTCGTACTTGTCTCTGTAGTTCCTCCTGTTCGTTTACCCAGATTTTCCACATCCATCCTTCCCTCGGTTTATGTTTTCTTCATTACTTCCATTTCATTCTTCAAATCTTGAACTGCTTCCCTAACCTGTTTGATTGCTTTTTCTTGTTTCTCTTGTTTGTCTTCGGTATCTTTGAGCGAATTATTCATTTCCTCTACCTTTTTCTTTGTGATCTCTAATTGTTTATGGCAGTTTTTCACCTTCTGTTTAAGGTCTTCTATTATTTTCATATAATTCACTTTTGAGTCGATTTTTTCTAATTCTTCTAGAGTAGGGTGTAAATTTCTTCTTATTTCGGGATCCCTGGATTCTGGTGATGTCATGTTGCCTTTCAGGTTGTTGGAGGAATTCTTGCATTGGCGCCTTCCCATCTCTTCCTTCAAATGGAGCCAGGAGAGGCCTAATGTCTTGGTCCTGTCTTTGCTGTGACTGACTCTCTGGGTGTATCTCTTCAGTGTAGAAGCAGGAACCGTCCCGTCCAGATGGAACTCCTCAGCACCAAAACATAGACGCCTGGTAGTCCAATGACCCGCGGACAAAAGGGAGAACTTGGGGGGCAGGGTGGGGATGAGTAGAACACAGGACACCCTGCCGCAAAAGCTGAAGGTGCGCGTGCTCCCTTTTGGGGGGGGGTCCCTAAGGTCCGCCCGGTAGGCAGGCCCTCACTGCTCTGGGTGGGCAGCCCCAGTGTAGGAGCAGAAAACTGTTCCCAAGCAAAGGACCCAGCAGAAAACGCAGGCCTGGGGGGGGTCGTGTGCAAGAAAGACAGCCCTGCAGAAGGAGCTTGGGGATGGGGGTCTGTGCTCTCTTCCGGGACAATCTGCCCCTGGATAGCAAATACTCACCCGTCCAGATGGAACTGCACAGCACCTAAATAGGGCCGCCTGGTAGCCCAATGATCCGGGACAGAAGGAAAAACGGGGCAGGCAGGGTGAGATCCAGGATAGCACAGGCACCCCTGGAGCACAAGCTGAGGGTGCCCGTGCTCCCTTACAGGGGACCTTGAGGCCTGCCCAGTAGGCAGGCACTCACGGCTCTGGCTGGGTAGCCTTAGTGTAGGAGCTTAAAACTGTTCTTGAGCACTGGTCCTAGCATACAGCAGGGCAGGGTTGGGGGGGGGTACTGGGGGGCTGGGTTGTGCGTAAGAAAGACAGCCCTGCAGAAGGAGCTGGGGGAGGGGTTTTGTGCTCTCTTCAGGGACTATCCGCCCCTGGATAGCACACACTCACCCGTCCAGATGGAACTCCACAACACCTAAACAGATCTGCCTGGTAGCCCAATGATCTGGGGACAGAAGGAAAAATGGGGCAGGCAGGGCGAGATCCAGGAGAGCACAGGCACCCCTGGAGCACAAGCTGAAGGTGCCCGTGCTCCCTTACAGGGGACCTTGAGGCCTGCCCGGTAGGCCGGCACTCACCGCTCTCCTTTTTAAGTTTCTTAATTTTGGAAAGTGATACTTATGGAGAAAATTACCAATTTTTTAAATTTTTTATTCGGCAGAGTATAGGTTTTAAGTATGTCTTTATTTTTGTCTATGTATTTACTTGGTTTCTGTTGTTATGATCACCTTTTTATTTCTTAACTAGTCTAGAATTAAAAGAGGTGGCAAGGTGGTTCAGTGTAAGGGTGTTTGCTACCAGTTTGATGACCTGAATTGAATTCTTAGAGGTTACATGGTGGAAGAAGAAAACCAAGTCTCTCAATTTGTCCTGTGACTTCCACATAAGCATGGTGGCATGCACAAACCTCACATATCTACACACTACAAAGTTAAATATATAAAAATATTGAAGACTGTAGAGATATCTGAGTGGTTGTAGTCTGAATGAAAACAGTCCCCAAAGACTCATAATGTGTTGCACTATTAGGATGTGTGGTCTTGGTGGAGAAAGTGTGTCACTGTGGAGATGAGCTTTGAAGTCTTATATATGTTCAAGCTACACCTACCCAGTGTCACTCTTTCTTTGTGTTGCCTGCTGATCGAGGTGTAGAATTCTCCAGCAGCATTATTACCTCTTTGCTGCCATGTGTCTCATCATGATGATAATGGAGGTGTAAATCTATGAAACTGTAAGCCAGCCCATGTTAAAGACTTTTCTTTACTAGAGTTGCTATGGTCAAGATGTCTCTACTAACCCCGAGACAGTGATTAAGAGCTCCTTTGCTCTTGCAGAAGATCCAGGTTCAATTTGAAGCACCCATATGCTGACTCACAGCCATCCATCATTGTAGTTCCAGGAATTCAAATGCTTTCTTCTGACTCAGTGGACACTAGACATACATGTGGTATTATTCATATATGCAATCAAAGCAACTCTTCTATAAAAGTTAAAAACTTTCAAAATGTATATGACTAATTTGTGCAAGTTGAATACAAGTTATTTGTATATGGGGTTTGAATGTGCATCCTCTCATTTTGCAGTTCACATTTGGGAATGGGGAGATAATAAATTATGTTTAGAGCCATGTTTCATGGATGCAAAGGGTTGACTGTCACTCATGTTTTGGTATATAGTATAGAATGTTGATTTGTTTTAATTTGCAAATGGATAATGGCAGATCAGTCAGAAGATGAAAAAGACAAAAAAGAAAATGTAACTAGTCTCTGAAGTCTAGATAATAAGTCTCCAAAGAAATAAAATGAAACACATTTTCTGTTGTATTTTTTCTTTATGTGTAGAATATGAAAGCAAATTATATCTGTACATCTTCAGTCAGTTTACTCCTTGATGTCTATTTTCAGGTAGTATTGCAGAAATAGATTATCATGGAAATGAGTGTTTTGAAACAGCCATTTAAATAAGACATGCTTCTGTTTTTTATTCTTCCAAATTCTGTAATGAGAACAGATGGGACATAAGCTTCCATAGCAGGATATAGAACTGACAGTGATAATGGTCAGATACAATTAAATAAAATAACATGTAAACCCAGTGTTTTGCATAACTAGAAGAATGTGAATCTCCAGGTCTGAAAGGATGCCCTTTATATGAGATTAATGTTTATTTTATTTAAAACCAAGCGTTAGCATGAACTCTTAGTACAGTATAGAGCTAGCTATGAGCTTGGGGGCTTTTTTTTTACATAAATTTTAAAATAAACATTTTTCTTGATTTCTTTCTACTGTTCACCTCTAGAAACTTATTGAGGGAACATTGGACAGTAGGTTGTGAGTCTGTATATTGTGAGTGTGCAAGCATCTTTAGTACCATTTAGTATTTTTACTTTTGTTTAAGCAGTGGTGTAGGTGAGAAATGGAACCTCCTGTAATTTCCACCCTTTTTAAATTTATATTTATTTATTTGTAGTGGGTTTCATTCGTGAATGTCAGATAACAACTTGCAGGAGTCAGTTCTCTATGTGGGTCCTGGGGATTGGACTCAGGTCATCAGGCTTGTCAGCAAGCATCATTATACCCTGAGCCATCTCACTGGACCACATCCTGTGATATCAATGTGCAATTCCCTGACAGTTGATGTAATACATCTTTGCTTGTGCTAATGTGTCACTGTGTACATATCTTTCTGAAATGTCCTTTCCACAGTTCCATCTATATTTTCATTATCTAGACCATTTTATAATTGATCTTAGGATATTATTTGTTTAATTTTTATATGTTAGAATTTTGCTGAGAAATGTGTTTTGAGTCATTTTATGTGGCTAAAATTATTTGTAGCAGAATAGCTGTTTTAGACTTTTTTGATACAGATAATTTTCACTTTTAGGAATGATATATTTAGTATAGTATTTAAGAAATCCTTGACTATCCAAGGATCACAAAGACTTATCTGTATTTTTCCAAATATTTTAGCTTTTATAGTTGGATATTTGGTTCATTTATAATAAAAAGCATTTTAAAAACAATTTGTTTCATGATCTTAAAGACTTATTTTCAACATAGTGAATAATATATCCTTTACTTTATTAAATGAATGTATTTTCAATGCCACAAGATAATTTTGCAAAAGGTAATTTTGGTGAATGAACACTATCAAAGCCCACAAAGTTACAAATATCTTTTGGTCATTTTTTGACAGGTAGCAACGTATAACTTTAGCTTTCCTGTCCATATTAATTCCTTTAAGGCTTCAGATCTCTACTGCGAGTATTTGTCACAGAAAAAGGTTTTGATGCCAAGAGTATCACCAATTATTCCACCTTGTTTTGTTCAAGCTACTGGTATGTAATATGAAAGTCAACTGATGTGTGCAGGTCAAAGATTTATACTTAACATCTAAGAGTAAAGAAAAATCAGAGTATCATTTTTAGTTTTCAAAATTTGGAATATTAGAAAAGAAAATTAGTCAATTTCTTTGTTTTAATGAATTGAATTTATTAACTTATTTTGCATCCCTACCACAGTTTCCCCCCTCCCTCCTCTCCTCCCATTCCTCAAATCTCTGCCTCCTCACCCCCACTTCTCTCATGGTGTCAACAGAGCATTGCATATCAAGTTAAGGTAGGATTTAACTCCTCCACTTGTATTAAAGCTGGGCAAGACAACTGCCAAAGCCTTAGGGACAAGCCCTGTTTCCACCACTAGGAGTCCAACAAGTAGATCAAGTTACACAACTCTCATACATACGTGGAGGGCCTAGGTTGGTCCCATGCAGGCTCCCTAACTGTCAGTCCAGTCTGTAAGCTTGTATGAGCCCAGATTCGTTGTTTCTGTGGGTGTTGTTGTGATGATCTCCCCACCCATTCTGCTCCTACAATCCTTCCTTCTCTTCAGCAAGATTCCTCAAGCTCAGCCAAGTGGTTGCCTGTATATCTCTGCATCTGTTTTCACTAATCACTGGATGAAGGTTCTCTGATGACAACTGGGGTAGTTAACTATCTGATTAAAGGAGATGGCCAGTTCAGGCTATGTATCCACTATTTCTAGGAGTCTTAGCTGGAGTCATCCTTGTAACTTCATGGGAGTTTCCCTTGCACCAAGTTTCTAACTGACCCTAAAATGTACCCCCAATCAAGAGGTCTCTTTCACTATTTTCTCCCTCTGTTCACTTAGCCCAAGCACCTAACCCAATCCCTCTTGTCCCATCCCAGCCAACCCCGCCTCCCCCAAGTTTATGTCGGAGATCTCATCTGAAATGTATGCTTGCCTGTCCTCATTTGAGCCCTCCTTTTTACCTAGACTCTCTGGGACTGTGGGTTGTAGCATGATTTGCCTTTACTTTACAGCTAATATCCACTTAGGAGTTGAATACACACCATGTTTGTCTTTCTGGGTCTGGGTTATCTTACTTGGGATAATTTTTTTCTAGTTCCATCTAGTTGACGTCAAATTAACAGATAACATTGTTTTTAACATTTGAGTAATAATTTATTGTGTACATGTGCCACATTTTCTTTATCCATTCTTTGGCTGAGAGTCATCTAAGTTTTTTCCAGGTTCTGGCTATTATGAATAATGCTTTTATGAGCATAGTTTAGCAAGTGTTCTTGTGGAATGATTGAGCATTCTTTGGGTATGTGCCTAAGAGTTGTATACCTGTGTCTTGAGGTATACTGATTGCCAGTTTTCTGAGAAACCACCGTATTTATTTCCATAGTGGCTGTACAGGTTTGTACTGCTACCTGCAGCGGAGGTTTCCCTTTTGCTCCCTATCGTCTGCAGCAGAAGCTCGCATTAGTGTTTTTTATCTTAGCCATTCTGAAAAGTGTAAGATGGAATCTCAGAGTCCTGATGGCTAAGGATGTTGAACAATTATTTAAGTGCCTCTAAGCCATTTGAGATTCTTCTATTGAGAATTCTCTGTTAGACCTGTACACTATTTTTAATTGGATTATTTGGTATTTTCATGTTTAGTTTCTTGAGTTCTTTATATATTTTGGAGATCAATCCTCTGTCAGATTGGGGATGGTGAAGATATTTTCCCATTCTGTAGGCAGCTATTTTTTCTTAACAATGAGCATGAGAGATTTTTGCAACTTCTGATACTATGTTTGCATCTCCATTTCTGAATGATTGGTATAGAGCTCATATTAATACCCTGTGTTCTTTCTTATTTCAATATTAAGTTTATTTTATGATTTTTTTACCATTTCATTATTATTGTCTTGTTTTACATGTAATCCATTGCCAATTAATTTTATGAAATGAAAATTTGTAAATATGGAAGTCAGGGTATCTAGAAATGTTGGAAATTAAATGTTACATTTTGACTAGGAGTATAAAACAGAAAAAAATACTTTTGCTATTTTATTTTGGAAAAAATATATTATGTAGTGTCCATATTCTGTATATTAATATTTTATCAGTATATTTACTTTTCTTTTAAAGTTTTACGAGCACCGTTGGAATTATCCAGCACGGAATTTGTATTCAAAGTCCCATTATATGAGCTTCAACACAGTAAGGAAATCACAACAATTCAGGTATATAGAAAATTAATGCACATTATAATTTATAATTATTTTGTAATTTTTTGGTTTTCGCTTAGTGACTTCATTGATAATTTGAAAGTTTTTTTATATTGAGAAAAAAAATTTTCCGCCTCCTTTCAGCCTCCCATTTTCCTCCCACTCCAACCCCCCTCCCTCCACGGCTCTCCCCCTCCCTCTCCACTCCAAAGAGCAGTCAGGGTTCCCTGCCCTGTGGAAAGTCCAAGGTCCTCCCCGTTCCGTCCAGGTCTAGGAACGTGAACATCCAAACTGGCTAGGCTGCTACAAAGCCAGAACATGAGTAGGATCAAAACCCAGTGACATTGTCCTTGGCTTCTCATCAGCCCTCATTGTTCGCCATGTTCAGAGAGTCCGGTTTTATCCCATGCTTTTTCAGTCCCAGTCACACTGGCCTTGGTGAGCTCCCATCAATAGGTCCGCCTCACTGTCTCAATGGGTGGGTGCATCCCTCGTGGTCCTGACTTCCTTGCTCATGTTCTCCCTCCTTCTGATCCTCATTGGGTCCTTGGGGGCTAAGTCCAGTGCTCCAGTGTGGGTCTCTGTCTCTATCTCCATCCATCGCCAGATGAAGGTTCTATGGTGATATGCAAGATGTTCATCAGTATGGCTATAGGATAGGGTCATTTCAGGTTCCCTATCCTCAGCTGCCCAAGAAACTAACTGGGGACCTCGCCCTGGGCACCTGGGATCCCCTCTAGGTTCAAGTCTTTTGCCAACCCTAAGGTGGCTCCCTTAACTAAGATATGTGCTTCCCTGCTCCCCTAACCAACCTTCCTTTATCCCAATCATCCTGTTTTCCCAAGTTTCCCCCATCCTCCCCTTCTCACTTTTCTCTCCCCATCTCCCCTTACCTCCATCCCACACAACTCCCAACATCCCAATTTTTTGCCCGGCAATTTTGTCTACTTCCCATAGCCAGGAGGATGACTATATGTTTTTCTTTGGGTTCACCTTCTTATTTAGCTTCTGTAGGATCACCAGTTATAGACTCTGTGACCATTATTTATGGCTAGAAACCAATTATGAGTACATCCCATGTTCATCTTTTTGGGACTGGGTTACCTCACTCAGGATAGTGTTTTCTATTTCCATCCATTTGCATGCAAAATTCGAGAAGTCATTGTTTTTTACTGCAGCGTAGTACTCTAATGTGTATATATTCACCACTTTCTTCATTCATTCTTCCATTGAAGGACATCTAGGGTGTTTCCAGGTTCTGGCTATTACAAATAATGCTGCTATTAACATAGTTGAACAAATGCATTTGTCATATGATAGGGCATCTCTTGGGTATATTCCTAAGAGTGGTATTGCTGGGTCTAGGGGTAGGTCGATCCCGAATATCCTGAGAAACCGCCACACTGATTTCCAAACTGGTTGCACAAGATTGAATTCCCACCAGCAATGGATGAGGGTAAAGCTTCCCCCACAGCCTCTCCAGCAAAGGCTATCTTTGGTGTTTTTGATTTTAGCCATTCTGACAGGTGTAAGATAATATCTCAAAGTTGTTTTGATTTGCATTTCCCTGATCTCTAAGGAGGTTGAGCATGACCTTAAGTGTCTTTTGGCCATTTGAACTTCTTCTGTTGAGAATTCTCTCTTCAGTTCAGTGCCCCATTTTTTAATTGGGTTAATTAGCATTTTAAAGTCTATTTTCTTGAGTTCTCTATATATTTTGGAGATCAGACCTTTGTTTGTTACGGGGTTGGTGAAGATCTTCTCCCAGTCAGTAGGTTGCCTTTTTGTCTTAGTGACAGTGTCCTTTGCTTTACAGAAGCTTCTCAGTTTTAGTAGGTCCCATTTATTCAATGTTGCCCTTAATGTCTGTGCTGCTGGGATTATACATAGGAAGCGATCTCCTGTGCCCATCTGTTGTAGGGTACTTCCCACTTTCTCTTCTATTATGTTCAGTGTGTTCAGATTGATATTGAGGTCTTTGATCCATTTGGACTTGAGTTTTGTGCATGGTGATTGATATGGGTCTATTTTCATTCTTCTACAGGTTGACATCCAGTGTGCCAGCACTATTTCTTGAGGATGATTTCTTTCTTCCATTGTATTCTTTTAGCTCCTTTATCGAAAATGAGGTGTTCATAGGTTTGTGGGTTAAAATTCGGGTCTTCTATATGATTCCATTGGTCGACTTCTCAGTTTTTATGCTAGTACCACACTGTTTTCATTACTGTAGCTCTGTAATAGTGTTTGAAGTCAGGGATTGTAATGCCTCCAGCACATCCTTTATTGTATAAGATTGTTTTAGCAATCCTAGGTTTTTTGCTTTTCCATATAAAGTTGATTTTTGTCCTCTCAAGATCTCTAAAGAATTTTGATGGGACCTTGATGGGAATTGCATTGAATCTATAAATTGCCTTTGGTGGAATTGCCATTTTTACTATGTTGATCCTCCCAATCCAAGATCAAGGGAGATCCTTCCATTTTCTGGTATCCTCTTTAATTTCTTTCTTCAATGCCTTAAAGTTCTTGTCAAATAGATCTTTCACTTCCTTGGTTAGAGTTACCCCAAGATATTTTATGCTGTTTGTGGCTATCGTGAAAGGTGAAGCTTCTCTGATTTCCCTCTCTGCTTCCATATCCTTTGTGTATAAGAGGGCGACTGATTTTTTTGTAGTTGATCTTGTATCCTGCCACATTACTAAAGGTGTTTATCAGCTGTAGGAGTTCTTTGGCGGAGTTTTTGGGGTCGCTTATGTACACTATCATATCATCTGCAAATAACGAAAGTTTAACTTCTTCCTTTCCAATTCGAATCCCCTTGATCCCCTTATGTTGTCTTATTGCTATTGCTAGAAGTGCAAGCACTATATTGAACAGGTATGGGGAGAGTGGACAGCCTTGTTGTCTTCCTGAGTTTAGTGGGATGGCTTTGAGTTTCTCTCCGTTTAATTTGATGTTAGTTGTCGGCTTGCTGTAAATAGCTTTTATTATATTTAAGATGACCATTGTATCCCTAAACTCTTCAAGACTTTTATCATAAAGGGATGTTGAATTTTGTCTAATGCTTTTTCAGCATCTAATGAAACGATCATATGTTTTTTTTCTTTCAGTTTATTTATATGATGGATTACATTGATAGATTTTTGTATGTTGAACCAGCCCTGCATCTCTGCGATGAAACCTACTTGATCATATTGGATAAATTTTCTAATGTGTTCTTGGATTCGGTTTACCAGTACTTTGATGAGGATTTTTGCATCGATGTTCGTGAGTGAGACTGGCTTTTAAATCTCTCTTGGTTGAGTCTTTGTGTGGTTTTGCTATCAGAGTAACTGTAGCTTCATAAAAGGAATTTGGCAATGACTCTTCTGCTTCTTTATTGTGAAATACATTAAGGAGTATAGGTATTAGGTCTTCATGGAAGTTCTTGTAGAATTCTGCATTGAAACCACCTGGTCCTGGGCTTTTTTTGGTAGGGAGGTTTTTGATAACAGCTTCCAATTCTTCACGACTTACAGGTCTATTTAGATTGTTCACCTGGTCCTGGTTTAACTTTGGTATATGGTATTTATCTAAAAAAATTGTCCATTTCTTTTACATTTTCTATTTTTGTGGCATACAGGCTTTTGTAGTAAGATCTAATGATTCTCTGAATTTCCACTGTGTCTGTCCTTATGTCCCCCTTTTCATTTCTGATCTTATTAATTTGCATATTCTCTCTCTGTTGTTTGATTAGTGGTTTATCAAACTTATTGATTTTCTCCTGGAACCAGCTTTTTGTTTCTTTGATTCTTTGGGTTGTTTTCTGTGTTTCTATTTTGTTGATTTCAGCCCTCAGTATGATTATTTCCAGTCTTCTACTCCTCCTAGGTGAGTCTGCTTCTTTTTTTTTTTTCTAAACCTTTCAGGTGGGCTTTTAAGTCTCCAAACTTTTTTAGTTCTTCACACTTTCTGTTATACTTCTCATCCATTTCTATAAGGGCATTTTTTACATACTATTTAAGGGTGTTAATCACTTTTATAAAGTCAATTTTTTCTACTTCTTCTTGATTAAGGTGTTCCTGTCCTCCTGTTGTGAGGTCACTGGGTTCTGGGTTTCATGTTGTTTTTCAGATTGTTGGGTGAATTCTTGCACTGGCGCCTGCCCATCTCTTCCTCTGAATCCTCCCCTATGGATCTTCTTTTACAGGATCAGGTCTCCTTGCCCACTGGTGTACCTTCCCAGTGATGGCCTTCCCCAGTGATGGCTCTCCTGGTGCTCGAGTGATGTCTCTCCTGGTGCCGAGATCAGATTTCAGTCCTGGTTGGGTAGCTTGTAAACAAAGAGCCTACCTTGCTTGCTGCAGGCAGTCTATTGAAACAAAGGAGCTCCTGCCTTCCCGGTTGCTCTCATGATTCGGCCCCAGGGCTCAGACAGGCTGAGCTGGGTGATGTTATGTGCCCAAAGAGGGAAGGGAGGCAGAAGAGGTGAGGGTTCTTTATGCAAGCTGGTTGGGATAGGAAGAGTGAGGCAGTATGCGGGGAGTATAGGCCCTGCAGGAAGCCCAGGAAGTATAGGGGATGATGAGGAACTTCTGAGTTCCGTGTCCCGGGCTGCTGCCATGGTTCAGAAATTCACCCCAATGATGGCTCTCCTGGTGCGAGATCAGATCTCCGTGCTGGTTGGGTAGCTTGTAAACAAAGTGCCTACCTTGCTTGTTGCAGGCAGGCTATTTAAACAAAGGAGCTCCTGCCTGCTAGGTTGCCCTCAGGATTCTGCCCCAGCGCCCAGACAGGCTGAGCTGGGTGATGTTATGTATCCAAAGAGGGAAGGGCGAAAGTTTTTAATATATTAAAAACAAAATAACATATTTCATATATATGAAACAGTCTATAGTGAAAACATGCAGTTATATAATAAAATAACATACGTTAGTCTATGTTTTTCTTACTGTGCATCATTTTATTTTCCAATTAAAATTATTTATAGATGAAAAATGAAAGACATGTATTGACATGTATGTATCTCTTAGGAAGTTGTGTCTCCCCTGCCCTTTTTTTCTAGTGTATTGTCATTTCTATAATCAGTTTTGTTGAATACCTTTATTACTGGTTGCAAAGAATATAGGGAAAATATTTAACATTGCATTGATTAAAATAGAATGTATGAAATTAAGAGTTGTAGATTAATAAAATATTTCTACTGAAATTAAAATAGATTTTTTTAGACACTGAGCATAGAAAGATAGTAAAATTTCTTTTAATAAACCCCATGTGTATTTAAATCTCATATATGGAACTGAAAAAATAACCTTTGTAACTTGAAATGTATTTGAGATTTCAAAATGCCTTTCTGAAATGGGAGATTATTTTACATTATTGAACTTTCATTCAATTGTTTTGATATATGTGACTGGTGAACAAAGAGTCTGAACCACCAGTTATTAGTTATGAATACGACATTTGCAGGAGCCATGATCCTTTCTGAAATTTTAGGGGGAAGTTCCTAGCATTTCCTTCTTCAGCATTTTGAGGATAGTCACATTTCTTTTCTATGGGTCTAGTGGGGAAATGTTACAGCGGTGACATTTGACATCACATGAAGAACATGTGTGACATCACAGTGATTCATTGCATTTGCTGGGTTTTTCTACTATTCTCCAGTTTCTTAGTCTCTGCTTTGGTAGTGATTCAAAGGATTAGGGAATTTAAAGAACACATTTACATACATAGTTTAGGTTTCTTTTTTCTGTAGGAAAGAATATTCTCTCTGTTTTAGTATGAACCAACATAAATTTTCTTATTTTACTGTAAATCATGAATACATTTAAGTTTCTGTTTATGTTGGCTTTTGCATGTTAATATCACCATACGTAAAAACTTAGATCTTATTTCTAAAAATAAAATTTTATAGTGCATTCATTAAATTTTAAGAATTTCTTCTTTTGTTTATATATCTTTGAACAGAATCTTGTGATACTTAATATTTCAAAAAAAAACTGTTCAGTGGTCTTTGGATATCCGTAAAAATGACAAACTCTTCAAAAATGGCATATTCAAATTTACTGCACTAATTGGAAGTCTGAAACCAAATGAAAAGTATACTATTTCCATACATTTCTGTCCAAGTAAGCATTTTTCTTTTTTTTTTTAAAAATAAATTTTATGTGCATTAGTTTTTTGCCTGCATATATGTGTGTATAATATTCCTGTGTATACACTAGTTTTGCTGATGCCAGAAACACGTTCTGGATCCTCTGGAACTTGAGGTACAGATGGTTAGGTGCCGCCATATAGGTGCTGGGAACTGTTGGTCCTTACTGCTGAGCCACCTTTCCCAGTGGCCCTGGCAGCCTTTCTTAATCTTCAAAGCTGGGAGAGTTTTACTCCACAAATCCCTTTCTTAGTAGTCCCTTAAGATCCTTCAGCAGTTTGTGATGTCATCTTCATGCTCTGTATCCCGTAGGTATTAGCAGCTTTTATTAAAGCATTGGAAGCAGCTGAAAAAGGAAGTCCTGTTGCACTACTTCTGTGTATTGTTTAAGTATTATGTATTCCCCCATGTAGTAAGCATTTCTTACCAATGTACAATTATTTCCACCACCCATATTGTATACATTAAAAAGATCTACTTCTTCTATAGGCAAAGTATACTTGAAGACATGTTGGTTTTTATAATTTCTTTCTACAACAATACTCCACTTACTCTTTAATTCTTCATCAGGCTGCATTTTTCCTTGGTTAACTACCCTGCCCCACTGAGATTTAATATCATAGTAAATTTTGATAGTAAAACTTATATTAAATACTCCTTTGAATGTAAACTAATATGTAGTACCTTTTTCCCCATAGAGGAGCCCATAACCTACCTAGCTGATGTTGCTATACGTTTAAATGATAATTTATTTGACTATAGAACATTAAATCTGATTGGAGAGATACAATTACCAAAGATAATCTTTGATCCACCATTTATATGTTTTACTCCTGTTCCTTTGGATATCACAGCTGGAGTGGATATCAGAATTTTGCCACAGAACTATTTCAGGTAAGTCCTTAGTATGAATTTTCTATATCTTTATGTACAATTTTGTTTTTAATCTATGTTATCTGAATTTTTTATCCTATGCCTGATTTCTTGCTATAGTTTGGAAGAGCTATTAAAGCATTTCATTATACACTGATATTTTAAGAAATACAAAATTTTAAGAAATACAAAATAGTAATTTATTTTCTTGATTTTTTTAAAAAAAACATGTCTTTGTATTATAAAAAATAAGCTTAAAATTTAAATGTAAAAGAAATTAACACAAATTTTGTTACTTAAAACACTCATTTGATATCGCAAAAAAACAGTCAACTCTAGCCTTGTCTACCTAGTAAGTTCTAAGCTAGTCATAGCTACAGGGTAAGGATTCTGTGTTGGCCTGGAACTCACTGTGTGGCCCCAGTTGGTCCTGAACTCAGAGACTAGCTTAATCAGGAGTCACAGTACTGAAGTCAAAAGTGGGCACCAGATGCCCAGCCATCGTTTTTATCCATAGTGCTTCTTGTATTGGCTATAGTGTACAATGAGCTATCAACATTCTTCTATACATTATATAGTAATATGTACAAATTTCCACCAGTAACTAACTGTATCAGGAGTGAGGCAGGTGAGTGATAGGCATATGTGCCCATTGCATCCCACAATGTTAGTACCATTTAAAATGCCCACCTAAGGTAAATGAGAACTCTGTATCCTGTTTTCATATCCTTGTGTCAATCACTGAAAGAGTTATTAAAATAGGTACTGTAATGTTGGATTTTTAAACATTACTTCAAATAGTTTTGTTTTAGTTGTAGGGGAATAGTATATTTAGCATAATCTAGTGTTTTTAATAAATGAACCAGATTATTTTTGATTACTAGAAAGATCTAGTAAATCTTTCTTTATATATTTAAATTTATTTATGTTTTATTGTATTCCTTGTCATTCATATATACATATAGAATTTCCACTCAAAGGGCCCATATCAATAAACTCAGATTGATCTAGTTTTATGTTCCTTCCACCAGTATTTCACAACCTTAAAAATCTATTTCCACACATTCCCCAAACTTCCCGCTTGAATGACTTAGCAAAATCATTAAGCTCCTTAATAGTAGATAACACTTCCTCACAGACTTACACTTTCCTTCTCCCGTTTAGGAGCTTGCTTTGCCTTGAGTCTGGTTATGGGCCTAGAGGCAACTGTTGTTGTTTCTTAAAGGACATCAGTAATGTCTTATGTTTCATTTCCTTCAGAAAAAGTCACTGCTGGTTTAACAGACACTGAAGGTTAATTTCTCCAGTGAAAGGGAAATATTTCAAGGGGTTGACTAAGGATACTACTTCCTCAGATGAGATAAACCCTTGAGAATCTGAGGGTTCATGGTTCTCAGCATCAATAGTGTACTCCCAGAAATATTCATCCCAGATTATAGAATCCCATTCTTTACCAATTAAGGTCCTTACATTAACTGCCAACACCCTCTAAGGCTGAGACTTGAATTTTCACTGTAATTCAGCCCAACTTTCTAATGAGGGCTTTGGTTTGATTTTTCTCGACCCGAGCTCTGTGGCTGCTGGAGAATAGATTCTCTTTCAGAGAATACTTAGAAACTTTTAGACTCTTTATTCTCATCTGAAGTTGGTCAGTTTTTTTTCACTTAGTTCATTGCTGTCACTCACTGTATTCTGAAGTTGGTTGATTTTATCATGGAACACATTCTTATCTTTTACCAATTTATCCAGAGATATTAAGAAGTATCAAGCTGGGCTGGAGAGATGGCTCAGCGGTTAAGAGCATTGCCTGCTCTTCCAAAGGTCCTGAGTTCAATTCCCAGCAACCACATGGTGGCTCACAACCATCTGAAATGAGGTCTGGTGCCCTCTTCTGGCCTTCAGGCATACACGCAGAAAGAATATTGTATACATAATAAATAAATATTTAAAAAAAAAAGAAATATCAAGCTGCAGCATCATTCCCCCCCCCCCCAGGTGCCAAATGTTTCACTGAATCCATTGCTACTCACTATTGATGAATCAAGATAACCATGACACTTATCCCTGTATGTTTGAAGTAAGTTTACACCATACGTTTTCAGTATTCTGAGCTCCCAGAAGAGGGAGTGACTGGAGAGAAATGCTGAAGGTGCTGTTGGTGAATTTGAAAAGTCTATTCCAGATATTTAAAAGATTCATTCTCATACTTCTGTATCTCTAGAAACACTCTACTACCAAACTCTGCCTTAGGGTTTCTATTGCTGTGTAGAAACATTATGTCCATGACAACTCTTATAAGGGAAATTGAGTGGATAATTTACAGTTCAGAGGTTCATTCTATTCAAAATGATGACATGCAGGCAGTCATGGTACTACAGAGATAGCTGAGAGTTCTTTATCTTGTACAGTCAACAGAAAATTATCTGAACAATTGGGCATGGTTTTAGAATATATGAGACCTCAAGCCCTTCTCTACAGTGGCAGACTTTCCCCAACCAGGCCATACTTACCCCAACACAGCCACACCTCCCAATAGTGCCACTGCTTATCAGGGCCAGTTACATTCAGTCTATCACAACAAACTAATGCAAAATGTGTGAACCTCAGTCTTTCCTTTGCATGATTCTTTCTTTAGAATGAATTCATCTTCCTCTGTTTTATTGTTTTCTCCCCAATACTGGAAATGAGTTTCTACTTCTTATTTAAAAGTCTTGCTTGTTCCAGTCAAAAATTCTCTTCCTCCCACATACATAATAGTATACTGACCATGTGCTCCATCTTTGTTTTTGGTAGTCCAGTCTGCTCAAACCATTCCCTTCAAATTGAAGTTCTAGGTCTTTTGTATCTGTTGTACCATAGGCCTGATCTATTTCTATTTTCCATTGCTTTTCTGTCTGCATCAATTTGATGGTAACCTCACTTCCTACTTTGGAAATCATAATAACTTTAACTGATGGTCCTTTCTCTGACTATCCTCCCATACACGCATACAGGTGAAAGGAAAATTTCCCTATATACATTCAAGTTTTATTGGACTAAACTCCCAAAGTTCACTGGGAGAAAAGTCATATAATTTAATATGTTAGTTCTTCTGTTTGTGAGAAAGGACCTTCTTGTGTAGTCAGGCTGGCCTCGAGTCTGTGATCTTACGTTTTATTCTGTCCTGTACTGACACATGTACTCACACATTCATAAGTACTTTGCCTTTTGTTTCTGTTTGTGAGGTACTGAAATAGAGCACATGTGTATTTAAGAGGCAAGTCTTCTACTGAGTTGCCACAAAAGAAATATATATTTTCTTATAATTTTAAAACATTTTCAGTTTGATAAGTAACTCAATTTCACCTTTATGATTTCATGTAAGAGATTATAGTTACCACTTTAATTTTTTGTAATTGCTTATTATTATTTTTTCTATTTGATTTTTTTTTTACCAGTGGCTGTGCACTTTGTAATGATTTAAACAGAATAGTTTAAATAGAATATTAAAAACCTTTTTAAATTCTCATGAAGATAATGTTCATTAGCTTGGTAGCAGTTCATTTAAATTATTTAGTACACTTAGGAGATAAGTCTTAAAGTAATTAAAATCAGTGAGCTGATTTTTAATATATTAAAATGAGGCAAATTTTATGGTATGAGAAATCAAAATGAAAAATACAAAGTTAATTTGCTATCAGCAATTTTATTCCTTTCTTCCCCATGTTGGGTTTAATTAGAAAATGAAACCTTATTTCAGCTATTTCTTTGGGAAATTTTATATTCTTAGAAATTATATATGAAAAGAAACTCCCTAGTTAAAATAATAACAATGTACCACTTCTTGATAGGCCTTTTCTTAATTTTCAATGAAATGATCCATGAAGATACCCAGAAATTAAAATTAAAACTAAGCAACAATTGAAAGATAACAACAAACCATTTGTGTGATTCCTGTGAGGAATTCCCATAATTGCTGAGCCGATGTGACCAGACTGGAAAACAGACTTTTTGTCTTTTGTTGGCTCATGCACAATCAAAGTATAATTTAAGTGTAAAAATGAAATAATCTACTTGCCTGATCTCCTATTTCCTTAGAATCTTATTTATGTGTATCTATGAGGATACTGACTGCGTGCCACTTCCTAACTGAATACTTTCACACTCATCATAGGAATCCAAAACTATTTTTATGTTGAATGAATGTATATTAATTGCTTTTGAATGACGTCAGACTAAATTTGTGCAATGCCTGGCAATCTCTTAATACCACTCTTGCATTTCTCTTAAAAGAAGGCTATCTGGACTTAAAATAACTGTAGCTGTGGGAGAAAATGTACCCAAAATGATCCTATCAAGGAAGTATACAATCTTTTGGGACTATCCAATCGTGGAAGTAAAGATGGTAGTGAGAGTGGTGGCAGGGATGGACGGCATCTACATAAGTTGTGGTATATACAACTGATGGGGATAGAATTTATTAATTAACCAGAAGATAAAATTATATAATGTCAAATTCCCAATGGATTTTAATAAATGGGTCAATGCATGTAGAAAAATGTCCTTCCTACACTTAATAGGTACATCCTTGTTTAGTACAGATAATTGGCCCCAATCAGTATTTTAAGCATACTATACATTTGGGCCTAAGTGATATGAGAATAAGAACCTGTGCAAATTATCTCTTAGGAAGAATACATCTCCCCTAATTTTAGAATAAAAAAAAATTAGAAAGATGCAGATGAACAGGCAATCTATATATCCTAGAAAACTACCATTCAATTAAAAACATTTAAACCTAACAATGAAATTGAGACTACTTAAAACACAGGTATTGGAAATGAAACTAAAGAAAAATTTAATTGTAGGCTAGGAAGATTGGAGTTATTTTTAAAAAAAAGAACTTAGACTCAATGCTCAATAGTTGTTAAAATAATTGGTAAACATGGATAAATCTCATGAACATTGACTGTAGAAATATTAACAGTGAATAATAGCTCAAAGCAGGCAAGCATGTTGGCAAAGCAGCAAGCTGACAGCTCACATTTGAATAGTTCCTAAATAGTTGCTGTAGGTTCATGATAATAATGTTATCATATTGAGTATTACAATATGTTTGGTATCATGAAATACATTTTAGAATAGATATTTTTTAAATTAATAATATTCTATATTTATCAATAGAACTATTATTTAAGATGGACTATATAGTCAATTTTCATTCTTTTTTATAAAATGAGGAAAATCAGTGAAGAGAAGATGTTATAATACAATGAAATTGTCAGTTTATTTACTGAATTATTTGTAAGACATATGATCTTCTGTCAATAAGAACATGTCAAAAGAACTAGAAAGGACAAAATTGCAATTGGCATTCGTGACTTGTAGTTTTGGTAAAGAAATTTCCATGGGTTTTTGGAAGTATGGTTAGTAAATTGGTCAGCTGTTCTCTGTCAGTATTATTTTCATAGATTGATTTTCAATAAAAATATTTTCACAAATACATAGATATAATTTAGTGTATGTGTATAGTTTTTCACATTCAGTAGCTCAGTTTCAAATGAAGAGCTTGTATTTACTCATTGGGAATAATATAGCTAAAAGTTAGCAAGAATATAGTAAGTAACAATATAGTAGTTGATCACCCCATGTTTGATCCACTTTTATATATGGATAATTAAGTAAATTAGTTTACCAAGTTAAATCGTATAATGAATTTGGAATTTTAGAAATTTTTCTGAAATTTAAGAATTTTTTCTTTATTTATCTATAGGAAGACTATAGATGTGAATACAAACATCAGATTTTAAGTAGATGAACCCAAGCATTAGATATTTTTGTAATGAGATTTATTTTAGATATTGCACAAAATATCTTGAATGATATAGTACTAACTTTCATATAACTTTGGATACTAGAAGAAATCAGAGTGTTGTATGATTCTCCAAATTTCATTCAGACTCTAAGTCATGGTTGGTCCATACTGCAATTTTGGTCAGATCAAAATTAAAGATGGAATCCCACATGCCTTTTACTAAAATTCAAAATTTGTAAAATAAAACCTAACACACTTTGCACTTTAATATAGAATACATTGTGTCATTTACGTTGACAAGTAGAACTTTCTACCACTTGGAACATGAGGCATAATTTTAGAATTTTTGGACTCAAGAGTTTTGGACAAGATAGTTAACAGCACAGGATATTTAGGTGCTAACTAGTTTTCTCCCCTCTGTCAACCCTAACATGAATGGTAATGGTTTTTATGTCCAGGCTTGTGGACACTTCAGCTCACACACATCATCTTTCTCCCTGGCTTCCTCTTAGTACTCACTCCTTATTTACTCTACAGTTCTTCAGTCAACTAGCATTAAAATAGAACAAAATGTCTCATGAAAATATTGCAGAAAGGATGAAGTTCTTTTGGATTGTTAGTTAAAATAATGTCTCACCAACTTGGGACATCAACGCAGTTAGGCTCTACGTAGGCCTATATTATTTAGCCTCTATTTCATATGTGTGTATGCTTTTGTGTGTGTGTGTCTTCATGTGCGCACATGTGTGTGTTGGTAGGTAGGCAGGTAGGTAAGTAGGAGGGATGACTGAAAGACTGAAAATTATGTGCCATAGATAGTAATCTCTATTTCTTGAATTTAAGTATCTGTATCTCAAGGGAGGCACAGAGTATGGCTTGAAGACAAATACTTTGAGTAATGATCTCTGAAAGTATATATGGGCAAGTTGGAGACAGAGAAGAAAAGTCTGGCTATTGCTTGCAGTGCTTGGAATACATTGTAGAACTGGATGATATGTCTAAAATAAAATGACATTATATGGCAGCACAATGTTGGAAATATATTTCTATTTTAGAAAGAAATGGTTTACTACTAAGGGAACACATGCGTGTGCACACAGATACACCAGAATCAACATATGGTAGTTATAGTTATTTTGGATGTTTAAGGCAAAGAAACAAATAGTGGCTTTTTTTCAATAAGTTTTAGAAAGCAATATTTCCATGAATTCTATTGACAAAATGATTTGTTTTTTAGATTTAGAGGGAAAGACCCTTTATTCTTTAGGGTCTTGCACTTAATAGTTTGAATATTCATATAAACATAAAAATAATCTTAGCTTTCAGTTTAATGCTAATGATTAGTTATTGGGTGTTAACATCAGATGGATAATTTGAAAATATTTACATTAGAGAACCCCAAGGTCACAAAAATATGGCAGTAAAACTGGATCACCAAATATATTCTCTGTATTTTTTCACTCTGTGTTAAATGGAGCCATTTGACTGGTTTTGACCAATTAAATATTTCATATTAATTTGATATTGAACACTGAAAATCCCTTGAAATAGCAATTCCTCTTGCCCTGTTTTGCCATTCAAAATGTAAGATAAAAGCAATATACTCCTTCAATACATGGTGAGCCTATTAACTCTTTAGAATGGAAGATCTCTTCCACAAAACTATTCAAGACATTTTCTCTCATTCAAAAATAAAATTATGTGATAAGATTTAGAAAGAATATGTAACATTAGAGATACGTAGTCTATTCTTAGTGAGTTCAATTTCACAGAATAATAGTAAATATTGTATGCCAAAATTAATTTTATGTCTCATAGTATTGAGAATGACTACTCTTTTTAAATTGTTTTGCTAGCTTTAGAAGGAACTGTTTCAATTCCTCTACGATTTGCTCCTCTTGGACCTGGAAGATACCCTTGTAATATTTTGTTGATATCAAGATATGATGTGCGTGTGTATGTAGTTGAAGGTATAGTAAATGAACAAGAACCAGAGGCTGAATTGTTGTTTAAAACACCAGCATTTGAACCCCTTACACAGCACATCCCAATAGTAAGTAAAAACTTCTTTTGTGTCTATTTTCATGTTTTACTGGAGCTTCTCTCCTCAATTCCTGACCCTTTATAAGTGCTCAAGAACATTAAGAGGAATTTCTAAATGTATAATGTAAAACTAGAGATGTTACCATTATTGGGCTATATCTACCTTGTCTGTGCAGTATAACAAATTTATAGAAAAGATACAATAGCTAGGAAACAAGCATTTGTAGATTTGTAGATTTAACCCCTGTTACTAGATAAGTAAAGAAGCATATCTCTTAATATCAGAGGTCAGGGCATGAGGGGGGGGGGGGCAATTTCTTTTCGGAGAATGATGGTTCCTGTAGAAAGCTACAGCTGAAAACTGCATGGTAAAAGTATGTAAGATTTTAGGACCTATTTACATTGTTCAGGAGAATTTTTTTAACACATTATAGTTTAGGTTTTCTGTCTAAATATTTATGCTTTTAATCTCTATTTAAAATAGTAATGGAAAATTAGCAGGGTGAAAAATCCAAATGTATTACCATGCAGAAATGTGGGAGGCACATGTAAGCTCAAAAGAGGAAGAATATGCTTAAAAATGATATAGATGCGAAAGAAATGACTGGATTGTGGGCTTCTAAAGAAGGAAGGTGGTGGCTGTCTAGGAAGGTCTAGAGGAGACTGTGGAGAAAGCAACGTTTATTATACTAGGAGGATAATGTCTCCCAGGTGGCAGCAATCTACAGTAATCCCCAACCAGGACAATCATCAAACACTCTACTCTTCTTGTTAAGATCTTTCCAGGCCAGAGAGAAGTAGAGCAACAAAGGAGCCTCAGCGTGTGTCTACTGTTCACTAATGCCAATCTCCGTTATACTAAAAATAGTCAAGTTTTCAGACATAATTCTGATTCAATTTTCTTGGAATATCCATTTTTAAATATTGGAGAAATAAGTTTCAGGGTGCTGCATTTTGCAACTCAACACTTACTTTTGCTGTCTCAAACTCCTCCTAACCTCATCTTTGAGATTTGCAAATTGATTATAATCGTATTTTAGGCTGGAAATTGTTTTTCCTTATTATTTCATGGTCTCTTTCATGAGTATGAATTCAATTACAAACAGGTTCATTATTTCTAGTGAATCTATTTGCTTAAGAATGTGACTATGATTTCGTTAACCTCTCATCAAATGCCTAATAAGCATTATTTCTTTCTCCTGGAGTCACCATGCTGAAATACAAACTCTCAGATCACGACTCCAAATTCTGTTGATTTTTAACTGAGATGAGTTCATAGGAACTAAGAAAAACCATTAGGAGCCGGGCGGTGGTGGCGCATGCCTTTAATCCCAGCACTGGGGAGGCAGAGGCAGGCAGATCTCTGGAGTTCGAGGCCAGCCTGGTATACAAGAGCTAGTTCCAGGACAGGAACCAAAAAAGCTAGGGAGAAACCCTGTCTCGAAAATTTTAAAAAAAAAAAAAAGAAAGAAAAACCATTAGACAAAGTTTCCTATGAGACAAAGGGACAATGCAGCATAGAAATAGGTAGTTGAATTTTAGGAGAATTTCTGTATTCTGAGTAATAAATTAGGTTTTGATCCTTTAATTACTAAAGACATGACCCAGTATTTTAGAACACATGGAGTAATTCATAACAATTGCAGTATTTTATCAAATGCTATTTAGGACCATTGCATTATTATTTATTATTTAAAAATAATTAAACTACCCTACAGAGAAATGTGTGGTTTGCATTATGTGTTTCCGTACTGTGATTTTCATTATGTTCAATTTTGTTGATTCTATACTTCTTTCAAACTCAACTCATCTCTCTATTTCCCTTTTCTTTGCTGGTACTTTGTAATTCTTGCTCATGATTGGCTACTGCTCTACTACTGACCTAGATGTCTAGCCCTTGCATTTTTTGCAACTGGTTCACACTATGTGGCTTTGACTGGCCTTGAACTTAACAATATCTCCCAGGATGCTGTGGTACTCCAGGATGCACATGCTGGTACTAGGGTACTTGAATAACCATGCCCAATTTAATTGTATTTTTATAACTTAAGAAATAAGAGTTAGCATGTAATTAGTCTTACAAACATTCTTGTAATATCTGTGAAACTATTTTTTTGTTTTAGAAAAATGAAACAAAGAAACCTTGGAAATTTCAAGCTAAAGTAGAAGGAGAGTGGTTTCATGGACCTCCCATTTTACATGTTGGTCCTGGTGAAATTGTCCAGTATCCTTTGACGTTCAACCCCATTTTGGAATGTGAAATTACGGTATGAAATCATGGAATCTTCCTTACATTATTAATGTCTAAATGAACAAATGAATAGATAGTAGCCAATTTAGTTAATTATACAAATGTTGTCTAACAATTTGTATGTTCTATAAACTTGATAGGTTGGTTGACTTAAAACATTTGAAAGGCCAGTATTTATCATGTCTCAGTGCTGATGTCTTATGGATATTTTTAATCTAGGTTATTTTCAGAAGCATGCTCAATAATATGAGATCATTGTTCCTATTCAGTAAGTCAGTTGCTACATCTGAAAATTCTCCTTTAGCAATATTTCTTTGACAAGGTGATAAATACACATATAATTGTTATATATGATAATGTTTATATATATGATTTCCAGAAAGATAAAAACTAAGAGCAAATCTTTTGTTTAATAAAATAATTTTATATGAACTGAAAGCTTCAGTGACTAACAAGCTCCTATTGTTGAGACTCAAGACATGGTGAGAGATTGGTATTGATTTATGACTGCTGACTGCTATAGAGTTGAAAATTGTTTTGTTTATCATAGGGTAAACTTACTTTAGAAAATGAAGTAGATGGTATGGCACACAGCATTGAAATAGATGGGATTGGTACAAAACCTATGGTCTTGGATCATATTGTTATATACTGCAAAGTGGGAAATGTGACAGATAAGTCCATAATAGTGCCTAATTATACAAAAAGTCTCCTGACATTTAAGGTAAGAAATTACATCCTTCTAAATACACTTTGAATTTTATGAAATACATTAATCATGTGAAAAATTTAAAATAATTTTGCCTAATGATGTAAAGAAATGGCATATAGGGAGATGATTATAGTTCTACTTTTTTTATTATTCCAACAGCTAAAAAATTTAATTTTAATTACTAAATGGGGTTAGCATATATCAAGTTTGTCATTGTTGTTTTTACTTTGTTTTTTTCTATTTTCTTTTGTCCTTATTTTATTTATTTGAGGTAGCAACTTGCCATAGCCTCAAATTACAGTTCTCTTTTCCTAGCCAGCCAAGTTCTTAGGGTACAACTACCTGCTACCATAAACTCCAAACAAGTTTTATAGTAAAATATTAGTGTGTAATTATAAAAATCTTTCAAGTTTCCTTATTTGTATCATGTTTATTTTTTCTTGAATAAACTATACATAATAATACAAGATAGTTTCAAGAAAATGTAGGCGTAATTTTTTTTTTAATATTTTGAAATAGGATATATCCTTGTAGCCCAAACTGACCTCAAACTCAAGATCTACTTATCTTAATCTCCTAAATGCAGAAATTGCAGGATATGCCACTGTGCTCGTGAAAGAGGAATAGGTGAGACTCTGCTTAGTCTGCAGAAGGCCCTGAGTTTAATCCTCAGCACCAAAAATAAAAATAAAATCCAATTCTTACTCTTCTTTAAGAATTGTAATGCATCCAATGTGTTTCTCAAAACGAGCTTCATCCATCAACCTTAGTTACCTCCATTCATCTTAAGAGGATATGGCAGAAATGTGGAAAGTCCCTAAGCTTATTCTATGTTTGTTTTAAATCCCCAAAATATACACTTTGGTTTAATTCCTCCTAGATATCAAAGCATATTCTTTGTAGTTAATATTTTATGTTAAAATTTCTCCTTGCCAGTACTAACTAAAACCTTTCAATATCATCTCTTAGCTTCGGGATATATTGTGTAGCCACTGATGTGGCCTTTATTGACCACATGTTATTGTCATGTTCATTATTTTTCACTGTATGAGTGTAATATATTCATATTCTCTCTCTCCACTTCTCTTCCTCCCCCTTTTCCTTGCTCATCCCTCTACCTTTCTCTCCCTATTTATTCTTTTCTGTCTTATCTGTCTCTCTTAACTCTTACTCTCATATCCAGGACTTTCTGGATGCTAGACAGATGTACCACTTCAGCTCTAATGCAATGTTTTATATTCATGTTTTCGTTCATATTATAAAGCATAACATTGAGGCCTTGAGAACATAATAGTGCATATTTTATATTTTTAGCAACCAATGTAACCATAAAGTGTGGCATTAAAACAGGGGTGGAGAGGATGAAGGTACATAGGTAGGTTGGTAAGAAAGGAGATGACTTTTTTAGTACCCCTTCTCTACTTTCAGAATTTATTAACAAGTAGGGAAACCTATCAAGAGTTTTTTAAAAACACATTAAAAAAAACCCTCCAATTATCCTACATCATTTATTTACTTTATTTTGTTCCCATGGCAAAAATAGTGTCTAGGTTGTTACTTTAAAATTTTACCTTACAGAAGGAATGCAGGTTAAAAATGTAAAGCAACTAAATTTTCATATGGGTCTATGCTTATGCAATTAAATGTAAATTATTCTCACATGTAAGCATAATGGATGATGTGTTCTTAGCATTTTAATACACAAATCAGACTGAGTCAATACATATCCAGAAATTGAAATGGTGTATCTTTTTGTAGGTCTATTTTTCATTTTAGCCCTTCTACATATTTATGTAGAATAAGACACCTGGACTCAGCTTACTTACCCATTTTGTTTTGTTGATGGCAATATCTAAATTGTAGTCACGATCTAACTTACAGCCATCATAACAATTTGCATATCTACATCAGTCATCATATCATATTTTACAGTGCTATTTATGTTATACCACAAAGTAGGAAAACAAATGGATAAGAACAAAACTGTCCAGCTGATACACAACCGCCTGAAGCTGAAACTTATTCCAGACATTGAGAGAAATAATACTACTACTTAGTCAGGTTTCACCATGTCCTTGCATTGAGTCCTCTCAATACATATGTTCTCCATTCTCATTCATTTTTGTTCAGTCTGTAAAATGGAATTTAATCCAATGTGATCAATATGTTTGCTCTTCTTTCCTCTTTCTCTCTCTCTCCCTTCCCCTCCCTTTCTCTTTTTTTAAAGATTTATTTATTTATTATGTATACAACATTTTGCCTTGATGTATGCCCACACGCCAGAGGAGGGTGCCAGATCTCAGTACAGATGGTTGTGAGCCACCAAGTGGTTGCTGGGAATTGAGCTCAGGACCTCTGGAAGAACAGTGCTCTTAACCTCTGAGCCATCTCTCCAGCCCCCCTCCCTTTCTCTTAACTGTTCCTTCCTCCCTCTACCAATCCTTCACCTTCCCTTTCCTTTCTTTGCCCCCTTTCCCCTTTCTTCCTTTCTCTTTCTTCTTCCTTCCTACCACACTTTCTTTCCTGTTCCCTACCCCTCTCCATGCTTGTTGTTTCATTTATTTCAGCATATACATATTCTTAAAACTTCAGCACTCAGGAGGCAGAGGCGGGCGGATTTCTGTGAGTTCAAGGACAGCCTTGCTTACAAGCTACAGAGAAACCCTGTCTCAAAAAAAAACAAACAAACAAAAAAAAAATTCCTACAGTCAAAGACTTGTATTCCACTTGTATTCAAGTGCTTTTGTCTTTTATTTAAATAATTCTGTAAATCTGTTAATTCCTAAAATCTTTAATGGGATAAATATATCACAATATTCAAAAATCTGTAAATGAAGGAGTACATATTTGAGGAAATCTCTAAATGCTCTTTGGAGTAAAGATTGATGAAATTTGGGAACCTGACCTGTACGTATCTCATTCTGCATACCTCTGCGACTTTGCACCTGTATTAGCACCTGTAACACATACAAATAATGGAAGTCTTTCAAACAAGAGGATATGCAGCTTTGGTATGGATCTATATTTGACCTTTCTTAAGTTACCCTGGCAATATCCACTAGCAAGGTTTTCTTATTTAGCTTATCTAAGAGATCTGTTTTGATAGAAAGATCCTGTTCTCAGACTATATGTCAAAAGCACTCAATTATTTAACTTTGTCTTTGCTGACACATATAATATAAGTAATAATCAACAAAAATTAATTGTAAACTTCATATTATGAAGACCTGGAATATGAAATGCACTTATGCAATATTGAAGGATGTTGTCTGTCCTTTGGAATCAAGCAAGTCACATTTATGTATAGAGATTTTAGCCAGCTAAAGAAAGATGAGATGGTTGAACTTTTCACCTACAGCATACATGAGAGTTCTTTCTGAATAAGGCAGAATTTTATTTGTAATTTAATTTGTAATTTTAATAATTTATAAATTTAATTATAATTAAATTTAATTTTAAATTATTTATATATAATTTATAATTAAAAATAAAGTAAATGAAACAATCCTTAGTTATAGATTTAAAGTAACAGCAGAAGACAAAATTTAAACATTGCCAAAACTCAGACATCTGTGAAGCAGCAAGAAACATATTCAGCATATCACTAACAGTAGTACTTGAGAAGAAGAAAAAGACAAAAATAAATTCAAAGGACTAAAGAAAAGAATTAGTTCCAGAAATTAAAAAAAATATATTAATCTACGTATCTGAAAAGCTGATCCAATTTGAAATAGACAAAGTGAAAATGATCCACACCTGGAATACCATTTGATTTTTTTAAACACTTGAAGAAAAAAAAAAAGAAAAAAAATGAGCTATCAAAGTAGAAATAGCAGAATGTGTGTCTAGTTACATACATAAAATAGATTCTCAGTAATATCAATATAACATTTGGAAGGCTGGCACTGTAGAATTGCTTTGCGTTCAAGGATACCTTGGTAAATAGTGAGGTCAGTGTGTTCCAGGCCAGCATGGGTTGCAGAAGGAAACCCTGTCTCAAAAATATGAAATGGAAAGTAAGGAAGGAGGGAAGATACAGAGAGGGAGATAGTGAACGAATGCTTGACTAGACAGATGAGTAAGTGCATAGATGGAGAAGCATGAAGTGTGCTAGTATGTCTGTTCAATAAAATTATGCAGTCTTCAAAAGGAAGGACATTTTTTTATTTGTGTTCAAATAAGATACAAAGAAAGGCCACAAACACAACGATACTACTCACATGTGCAACCAAAAATACATAAAATTTGTAAAGGCTAGGATTCTGTTCACTAGAGGTTATATGAATATATATGTGTGTTGATAATGTATGTCTGTCTCTGTGTAAGTTTATGTTCAGTATATTGTGAAAACAGAGGTATTTTTTATGGTTCATTTTTTTTAGGTAAATTCAGATTGATAATATGGGGAAGTCTACACCTGATTATTAAATCCCATACATGATAAGAGATAGCACTTTTGTCAACTTAAAATTTTTTTACAAAAGAAATTGCTATAATAAATGAAAACTGTAGCTACAAAATTTTCTATGTGGGCACTGAAGATACGGCTTAGGTGTTAAGCAAATCTGCAGCTCTTCTGGAGGACCCAGGTTCACCTTTTAGGATTCATATCAGGGAGTTCACAACCAGCTGGAATTCCAGGCACAGGGGACCCAAGGCCTTCTTTTAATTGTCCTCACAACCACCTATTATTCCAGTTCCACGAGACATGAGGCCTTGTTCTGATCATGCACCCACATATAAGTAGATACACACATAGGCACACACACACACACTCATAAACAAAAACTGCAATGTAAGTCTTTAAAAATGCTTTAAAGTGTTAGACAAATATATAAAGACACAATTAACTGAAACTTTAATAATGTTTGTGCCACAATTATGCATAAATATTCTTCACATACTGTGTTATTACTAACATGCAAACTCATTGAAATAGTCTATTTCTTGTACATCAAATTCCACTAAAAATTGCCCACCATCTATAAAAGATACTGATCATCAGTAATTACGTAGCAACAGAAAATAAGGTTCATTTTCTCAAAATTTATTTCCCTTGTTCTGTTTTTTCACAAGCCTATTATCTGTCGTCCCCCCCTTTTCTAATAAAGGCCATTTTCTTACTTCCTTTTCAGTGAAAAGTCCGTAAAATTAATGGAAGTAAATTACAATGCATTTTATGTAGTAGTTTATAGCACCAAAACATTTATCGTAGTATAACATGACAAAACAAAGAAAATATTTTCTTTTTGATATTACATAATTCTTATTTTCCAATCCATTTTTTCTAGGTAACTGCAGATCTCTCAATAGTGTGGGGAAATTCTTATATCACCATAGAACCTGACAGCTCAGTTCCATACACTCTCCATGTATGCCCTTGGAAACGTGGAGAATTCAGAGGTATTAAATGCACAATAAAATGTTTTCATTAGGTTCATTGCTAGGAGGGAAATATGATAATAATAAATAAAACTACAATTTATTCTTCTTTTGGACTAATGATATGGGAAAAGTCTTACTTTGTAATTTCACTCTATCCAAATAATTAGAGCTTCAGGGAATGTGTTTTATGCAAATATTAACTTTATCTTGTCAAGTTCAAATATATCTGTAGAAGAAATTTCTAGAAGTGGAATACTTAGTTAAGGGTGTTTATATTTGAACCTTAGGAGATACTTTCAAATAACTATATTAATATATGAACTCTAAGGCATTCTGTGATAGTGCCTTTGATACTATAGAAATGTATATTATAAACTTTCAACCTGTACTCAGTTAACATGGAAATAGAATTAATGTTTGGTATGTATGAATTATTCTTTATATCTAATCAAGTATTCATTTATATAAATTTCCCAGTGATACTTGAGCAGAATTAACCTACTGAGGAGATTGTTACATGCTCATTCAACATAATGTTAAAAGGGTATTAAACCTATTATAATTAAGTACTTATCATCTTGTGGTCTCTGGAAGTACTGATCTCTCATCCCTATTTGCCTTGATAAAGATTATCTCTACAAAGGGTCTATTATAACATGATAAAATTTGAAAGTGTGACCCTCTTTCAAGCATCTCAAAGGAGTATTATATTTTACTGTTGCAGATAAGCCAGAAAATGTGAAGTGATAGGAAATTTTAATTTAAAGTTTCATTCTGATTGTCTTTTTTTCTTTCCTCCTTATAAATCATACTACTTGGTAGATTTCTTTAATTTTAGAATTTTAATGTCTTTTATAAGAGAAAATGAGTTCATAAGTTTCACGTTAATTTGTTTAATTTCTTTTCTTTTTTTTCAAAGATAGGCTCTCAGTACATAATATGCTTCTCATTTAAACTTTGAGAATTCTTTGGTTGAAGCCACACACTCTCATACAAATTCATGTGTGTTTTCATAAATTATAATAATTCTTAATTTCCTATTATGCAGAAAACTTTGTATGGGTTTTGTTGCTTATGAAAAGAAGCCACAAACTCTTAAATATCATTGAATGTTTATAAATACCTTAGAAAAAAGGCCTTGGTCCAGCACCTGCGTGCGCGCGTGCACACACACACACACACACACACACACACACACACACACACAGAGAGAGAAACACAAGAATTCATGCAGGCATGCACATAAATTGTCACCTCTTTCCCTTTCTACTCCACCCATGTCTCACACAAACACACTCATATAAATAAATTAGTAAACACAACAAAGTAAATCATTTGCAGAGACCATTAAGCTGCCTCAGCATATGACAACGTGTGGTGGCAAGCGTGATAACCTCATATTAATCTCTGCAATCCCCATGATGAAAGGAGAGAGCCGACTGTCTTCTGCCCTGCACACACTCACTGGGGCTCATTGGCACTCATGCACATACATTTGTACTCAAATAATAACAAATAAATGTGACACATTTTAAAAATGATTTGTCCAAAGACTCTTCAAATTATTCAGCTAGAAATAAAAAGAATTAACAGGGAAGGTCAGTTTAGGCATCCTTTCCGCTGTTGTTTACAGCCTTAGCCTTGTGAATTACTGGGATTCCTAGAAAATTCCCGTGGATTTCCTAGTGCCATGTTTCTGGCTTACTCCTTAATGACTTCCTTTATCAAGAAATCTCGTTCCTTTCTCTCCCTCTCTCTTCTTCCCCGTTCTTGAGCATCCCTTTCCCTTGTTCCCTCATGTTCTCCTTCCTGCTCTACTTCTCCCCTCCCCCTGCCCTTCCACCCTCCCTTCTCCCCCACCTCACACTTCCAGTTTTCTCAGGAGATCTTGCCTGTTTCCCCTTCCCAGGGGAATCCATATATCCATGTATGTTTCTCTTAGGGTTCTCCTTGTTACCTAGCTTCCCTGGGGTTGTGGACTACAGACTGGTTATCCTTTGCTTTATGTCTGATAGCACTTATGAGTGAGTACATACTATGTTTATTTATCTGGGTCTGTGTTACCTCACTGAGGATAAGTTCCTTTTTTTTTTTTCTGTTTCTGGTTCTGTTCATTTGCATGCAAATTTCAAGATGTCATTGTTTTTTCCACTGAGTAGTAAGTACTCCTTTGTGTAAATGCACCACATTTTCTTTATCCATTCTTTGGTTGAGGGGGATCTAGGTCATTTTCAGTCTTGGACTATTGCAAATAATGCTGCTATGAATAACAATTTTTGGAAGCAGATACAGTGATCTACATTAAAGCACTGGGCCATGCTTCCAGAGACCACTGCAAGAGCTATAATATGAACAGAGGGATAAAGACCATGATGGGGATACCCACAGAAACAGCTGACCTGAGCTAGTGACTCTGGACTGATAGCAGGGGAGCCTGCATAGGACCAAACTAGGCCCACTGAATGTGCGGGACAGTTGTAAGGCTTGAACAGTCTGTAGGGCCACTGGCAGTGGGACCAGAGTTTATTCCTAGTGCTTGAATTAGCATCTGTTATACCCAAATACACGAAGTTCCCTCAAGGCCAACAAGGAAACCAAGTCCCATATGTAAAAGCGAAGAGCCTTTATTTTAATCAAGTTTGCAAACTCAGTCTATTCGTGTCCAAAATATTGGAATAACCGGAGAGCCTCGAGCTCAATTAGAATTTGGTTTTTATTGTAGTAAAGATGGGGATCAGGGGTTTCTGAGGTTCAGGACCTCTGAATGGCTGACATCTGTCTAGGGGTGTCTTGGTGAATGTGCACTGGCAGGTGATCCTATCTACAGTGGTTGGAATGCCAGGCATTTTTTTTTTTGAATGGTCTTTTCTTGGATGGGGGTTGTGTAATCTCAGGGTAAACTATTAAGAGTCCGGCCTCTTATTAAATTTATCAATGGCCGAGTTATACTCTGACAAAGAACTCCCTTTGGGTGACCTGTCCATATTTAGCTTATTATGGCTCGCTCCCACAGCATCTTAGAGCATATTCTCTTTGTCAGAATATCTTGCTTAGACTAGACACAGGAGGGAGGACCTTGGGCCTAGACTTTGTTGACTCCCCATGGTAAGTTTTACCCTTTCTGAAGAGTGGATGGGAGGGGAGGCTGGGACAGGCGGAGGAGAGGGAGTGGGAACAAAATAACTATATAAAATGAGAAAATATTGTATTAAAATTCTTACATTAAAAAATAACTGCATTATAGAAAAACAAGTAAACAATAAATTAATACATTTAACTAAAAAAAGAATTAACAATTCTATTTAATATGTCCTCCCTGTAGCCATTTTGTTGATCTTAGTGAGGCTGTAAAATTTCAGAAAATGATTTTGACAGTCATATTTCATGAGTCACCAGAGTGCCTCAGCACACTGTATGATCTTTTGATCAGCTAGAACACAGGTTTGTTCATTGTTTTGTACTTTACCATAGCATATCACACATAATGATAGACATGATATGATTACTGATGTCAATGAATTCAAATCTCATTGTGGGTTTAGAAATCTGTAAATTAAGCTAAAATTTGATACATGGAAAGTTTAATCATAGTTACAAGAAGCAGAAAATGGGAAGAAACATTAATCCTGAAGTGGGACTGTGAAACAGCTTCAATAGAGGGTAATGGATTGCTTAGGACCTTAATGCATTTTAAGCAGCTAATGTGATTGGGGGAAATAGTCAAGCAGTTGACACAACACTAGTGAGAACACAGTGAATATAGTTCACATAAATCAAAAAACAAATTAATGTTAAGGAATAAGTATTTGAATGGAATTCAGAATGACATATTGTTAAAAATATGTACAGTCCTTCCCAGAAGAACCATATTGTATATACCATTGAAATGGGTACTTATGCTTCTTCATATATGCCAAAGGAAAAGTTTCTGCAGACTATAAAAAAATATTTTTATAAAATAATTTTTAGTATTTCCTTGTAAAATATAAAATAATTTTTTAATAATTAGAATTATTTGAGACTTGACTTTCTTCTAGAATTTAAACCAAACTACTACTTAAAATCCTTATTATGCCATGCTTTGATTTTTGACATTCTAATAATGTTGAACAGTGGTCTTTAAGCAATAATCTCATAACAGCTGAAATTGGTTTATAAAAAATTTAATTTTAGTTTGATATGCTAGAAAATATATCTTCAAAAAATACCTTCTATTTTCTCAAATAATTGCAAATTTTAGAAAGTGCAAGTCAAAAACAAAAAAGCACAGATCATATCTGTCTTACCTATTTTGAAAATGTAAAACAGACATAGAATCTTCTTTCTGCCATTATTCAGTTTCTGGAAGCTATATGTCATACATATTTCCAGAAATAAATGTAAAATCATGCATATTCTTTAAATAATACACAGAAGATCATGAAAGGCATAAAGTTACAAAATGCTGATTTATTTAAAATTATCATGAATTCAAGTTAATTCTAATGAATTTTACTCATTTTAACATTATGAGAGCATCCCAAATTTGTGTACATTGTAACTGTGTCGATAGCAATAATAAGAAATCCATTCCTCTTTCTTTATACCTCCTCAAATACAATAATGGTTTTATAAATAAATATTTTATATATTGTACTCCTTTACCTATAGGGTTTTATTTATTTATTTATTTATAAAATAACAAGCAGAAATAATTTGTGGATGCTGCAATGTTATATTGTGATGGCAGTTTTACTCTTAGTAATAGTATAAGAGATAGTATATGAGATAGGAGATAGAATTCATTGAATTAACCATTCTCAGTTGAGATCAGTGTTTTTGAAGGTAGTAAGAATTGAAGGATTCACAGTATAATAATTTCCTCATTTTACTTTTCAGTATTCTTTTCATAGTGGTGTAGTTCCTGAATCTATATGCCTTTGTAACAATTTTATTAGACTTAGATATATGTTAATTCACCCTAATATTGAGTTTAACTTTGTTTCTTTTATCCATAGTGTTTTCTGGAGAATTAAGTAGCTTAAAATTTTTCCCCTCTACAGTTTTGCATTAGGTCAGTGTTGGGCATGCCAGGAGTCACTTTTGTTAATTTGTACCATGTCATCCATCAAAATTGTAGAACATAAAAATATATGTATATGTGTTTGAATGGATATCTGTGAACCTAAAGCATAATAACCATATATACCCATTATAATAATAGGTTGTTGGATGGAATCCTTATGTAGAGAGCGAAGATCTAGATTAATAATTTAAATTGCTGAGGAAGAAGCAAACTATCTGAAGCAGTTTTCAAATTAAATTCATTGTGGTGATCTCAAAGATTATGGTGGGCTGTTGTCAAATTTATTGTTAAAGGAGCCTGAAATTTTGAGGTGCATAATACAAGAAACAGATCTAGGTATGCAAAGGCAAATAAGAACAATGCTTCTATTTCTTGCAGATATTAATAAACTCAAAAAACATTTAAAAACACAGATAAACGCAGTGAATTAGTGTCATTTGTTTTAATGATATCAGGTATATTTGTATATTCCTTCAAAATGAAGCATGAGCTTGGGATAGATAAACTGATGATTATGAATTTCCAATTCTTGTCAAATCTTTATCTGCTGTCATTCAGTAATAGGAACAGAAAAATGTTTGTCTGATGATAGTAAAATGTTACGTGTTAAAAATATTGAAAACCCATAAAAACTATAATTTCTGCACAGAAGATCCCATGGACTATTCCTGCAGCTTAATTGATAATATAACACCAAATCTAGAAAATGTAATTTATTTCAAGCACTTTGTTTTATAATTTAGAGTTAAAAAATAAATACCAATTTAACACTGTAGTACAGAAAATGCAAACCGATACATGCTGCCTTGTATATAACTACAAATGAAACTAAAGCAAATCATGTGAATATATTCTTCTCTTTACTATATAGGATTTACTTGGAGATTTTGATGACTCCCTACAATATTTTAGATGCTGACCACAAATAGCCATTTAAGTTTAAATTTATTAAAGCCATATAGCATTCTTCTAGCTGCATGTTGCTAGATCTTCCATATTTTGTACATAAATATAGAAAATTACCTTATTTGCACGAACTTTGCTTGGGATAGGCATGACTCTGTTTATTATATTTGTCTCTGCTATGTGCTACTTTCTATCGTTCCATTGTATTTCATTATGTTCTAAGAATCTTCTGACTTAATATTGTGTTACAAAATGAAGTTTAAGCATTATAGGTGGTTCAGCCTTGGAAATGTATATTTAAATACCTTCACATAAAAGAGTATTTATTGAGATTGTTACATACGAGTAGATTCGAAAAAAAATGTTTGGCTTTGGCATGCAAATACTGAACCTAATTTTCTTTACCAGCACTATGCGAAAATAAAAAATAAGTTGTTATGTATTTTTAAACAATCTGATAACTAGAAATTTAAATAGTTCTAAATATGTAGCGCTTGTAAAGAGCTTGCCTCATCTGTGCTGAACAAGAAGAAATAAAATAAGCCATGTGATATTCTTCACAAATATTTACCCCAAATTAATATTGAAACCTTAATATATATAAAATGAGCATAAAATTATTAGCAATATACATTATATTTAGGTGGGTGTGTATACCTATTCATAGCACATCGCAAAACTATCACCATAATTACTTAATCATCGCATATGACTAATGGCTTCCATATTGTTCAACACAACCCTTAAACATATTGGGACCTTTAATCAGCTCTCTTGGAAAAAAGCATAGTCTATAAGCATCATAACACTTGTAAGTCTCACCCAAATAAGTGAAAATGCTTTCTTGCACGTTAATTCTTTCTATTATCCAGGAGGAATGTGAACAGTGTTATCATGCTTGGGGCACTGTCTACAACAAGGAATAATAAGGATATGAGTAAAGATGTCATCTGTAGAGTACCTTCACTGTACTGATTGTTTGATATGTACATTTTATTTTAAATTTCTTTTACATACATATATAATTATATTTTGTTACAAGATTAGCACTCTATAAAACTGTTCTCCACGGGGGAAAATGTTGCAAGAGTATGTAATAGCTTAAATTCAATACTAAGTAAAGCCTAAGAAAAATTTGATGTTTTATAGCAGTTATACTTTATACATAGTAAAACACTGCTAAATCCATTTGTGTAGTATTTATAGGTACTTGTCTAAGCTATTTGATTATGATGCATGTCTAGGAACATGTGTTTAGTCTTCAAATCCTGTGTATTGTAAGCTGATACTGAATGACCACAGCTCATTTTTTTAATTATTTTTTAAATATAAATATATTCACCCCAGTTTTTAATATTACTACCAGTTTTGAATGAGTCCAATTAACATAAAAGAAATTATAATGAATATTTCAACAGCTACAGTTTTATTTTTTTACTCTAGTGAATTTTATGACATTTATCACTTTTTACATTGTATTAGCTGAGAAATAGTCCAAATTTGCACACCACATCTAGTAAGACTATTTCATGAGAAACCATGCATTCATCAGAATCAGTTCTAGACAATGGAATGTGTGTGCATGTTGAGCTTTCTCTGCCAAAATCCTTTTTCCTGTCAAAATGCCTATCTTTGCCTGTTATTTTTCCTTCATAAGTTACTATACTTTAAAGATTTCTTGATGAGTATAACAAAATGGGGAAAGGTATAAAGTTTAAAACAACTCATTCCACAATATTAAAATAAAGAATACTCATTATTTTCTCTGTGGCAATTCAAAATTTCATTTGATCTCAATTTGTCTGAAAACCAAAACACTAGTGTTTCAAATATCTAGAACTTACTCTGTCATTTTTACCAATAGAATAACATATGTGTGCACTTCTTTACCCTAGACCTAAGACCACAGTTTGGCTAAGTGCCATAGAGATAGCATGCCAGTTTTATGATAAATGCAAAATATTCCATGTTTTAAATTCTTTTTGAAAAGATGAAATTTGGAATACTGTGGAATTTGCAATTGTAGAAAACAAAATAGTTTGTAAAGGAGATAATAACTAAAAATGTTATAAATGTCTTTGGAAGAAAATAAATAAATACAATCATCTAGGACCACTAAGTTAACGAAAACTAAAGCACACTAATTATTGGCCAGTTTTTCTTATTATAGGAAGTCTGTTGAAAACTACTATTAAGAATTTAATAGTGTATTGGGAGAAGCGGGATCTTTAAGAGGTAAAGTCTAAGAATTTTAAGGTTCATGAAAATTTGCTCTCAAAGGATGCCCTCTTCCTCCCTCTCTTTCATACCCAGAGAGATGGATGATGTGGTTATTCCCCACATCTCTGCCATGACAAGCTGTCCCCCCATCTGAAGCTACATGGTCAGTTGACTATGGACTGAAATCTCCAAGACTCAAACTGTTCTTTTTATAAATCAGCACACTAGTGTATCAGACAGAACACATTTTAGATTAAAGGATAATAAATCCTTCAGTCTGCTAAAAACAAAAAAGAATTTAATAGTGTTTCCTTAAAATTTCCATTAAACTGTTCTATAACCTCATCATATTTGGTATGTAATTCATAGTAATTTTGATGCTTGAGACTATTCCATATACTCCTCCCTTTTAAACTAACATCCTGGACTTATGTGTTACAGGTGCAATTACATTTACCGTTAAGAGAAGAGATGAGGAAGAGTCTCAGGAAGAAACAGATCCAGAGAAAGACATCTCTTCACAGGACACACCGTCAGATCCATCTACCATTATTTTTGAGGAATACTCAGGTAAAATTATACTAGTGAGCTTTATTATTGCACTCTGGAAATTCTGATCATCATGTCCCTTTAAATATACACTTATGCGCATAAT